CTTTTCAGAATAGATCTGTCATTTGTTACTCTTACTCAGGCACACACAGGTTTCTCCTAATATACCATCTTACCCCAACAACTCTACTTTCCTTTCTAGAATGTTTTTCTAAACCTTATGAGCATACTGTTTGGTTCTTTCTTTGTGTACTTAGAAATATATTACAGGGAGAGAGCATCCCTTATCTGTGAAGCAAAAATTCTAATTGCTCCAAAATCTTTTTGTGTGTTGGAATTTTAGATTAGGGATCCTTAACTGTTGTAGACTACAGATATTCCAAAACCATCATTCAGGCCTGAAACACTTATGTCCCAAGCATTTTGGATAAGGTACACTCAAATCATATAAACATATTTCATAAATCTGAAGTTTTTAAAAATTTTTGTTTATTGGATTTTTGTGCATTTCATATAGAATATCTTAATCAATCTTAATCATCATTATACCCTCATCCCCACTGGCACCCTCCTTTGCCCTCCTCCCCCAGTGGAATTCATATATTTGGTCATTTGTGTTAAGGCCTATTTGTCAAGCTAGTATCCCCAGACGTTCCTCAGTGCAAGTTCATCTACTAAGGTCTAGCCAGCTTACCTAGAGTCCCTCACTTCAGGAGGATCAGTTCTTCCTCACCTAGCAGTAATTGGTTGCCAGTATTTCTTCAGCTAAGATTGGGTATGCTGTCCATTTCCCTAGTTTATGTTGGGCTTTTGTTTGCTTGAGTTTAGATGACTTGTGTATGCTGACATCATTTCTGTAGATTCATATGAGCAGGGTCCCAGGAGCTTGTAGGATGCTATTTCCGTATGGTTATGTACCTCCTCCCTGGCTCTTACAATCATTCATCCCCCTCTTCCACAATGGTCCCCGAGCCCGGGGTAGGTGAAGTTTAATATAGGAGTCCTGTCCAAGAACCAGTATTCTGCAGACTCTTAATCTCTATGCTTTGACCGTTTGTGACCTTTTGTGTTCCTGGCCCTCTGCTGCATGAAGGAGCTTCATTAATGAGAACTGAGAGATTCATTAGTGTCCTCTTTACCCCTGTTCTATATCCCGCAAGCCTTAGGTGTAGAGGTTGCATTGTACATGTGTCACGTAGGTCTGGGCAATTCATAGACAATGTCCATGTGTGACCAGCTGTAGTACTTGGTAGTAGTCCCTGTCTGGTGCAAAAGAAGCTTCTTTGATGAGTGGTCACTGGGATATTTGTCTGTAAATATAAGGATACATATTTTGTACATAGTAAGAAATTATATTACTCTAGGGATATGACAGTCTTGGGGTTTTCTCTAAGATCTATGACCTCTCCAGCCATGTTTATTTCATTATGTTTATAGTACCACACTTGAGTTTCCTCCCACAGAATGGGCTTTTAGTCCAATTAGGTAGCTGTTGATTGCCTCCAAGATTAAAAAAAAAAAAAAAAAAAAAAAGTACAACTACTTCATCAATGTCGTATGCTGTGCTGGCCACTGATATGGTTATTTGATCTTGAAACTGCTGTTGGACCATCAGTTGATGTTTTCCCTTGGCACCCTTATAGCGCTCTCCAAAGCTATGAGAGCTAGCCTTCAGGGGAAGAGGCTTCCAGGCTTCCAGGTCAGTTCCAGGTCCATTGGTCCAAATCTTGTGTCCAAAGTATGTTCTGTCTTCAGCAATAGGGTCTCACTTTCAAGTTTGTGAGGCAACCAAGGACTGTGGCAATAACCTGTGTAATTTTGGGAGTCTCTTGGACCACCCTGGTCAACAAGTCAAAGGAATGTTTCTCCTGTCTGGCACTGTTTCTTGTTATGCAGCCTTCAGCTATATACATGGACTCATGTAGAGATATTGCATGTGTAATTTGTCATTAGGTTGTTAGACTAATATGATTCCCTCTGGTTTTTTAAAGCTAGCAGGGCATCATTTATCTCTCCTCTCTCTTTTCCTGTCTAACCTTTCCATAATGGTTTCCCCATTTAAAGTGTCCCCATTTTCCCTGTTCTCCCTTGATAATACCAGTCTGCTGTGGTCCCACCTCTCTTGTGCTTCTTCTTTCCCTTTATCCTCAAGGTTCTTTGTATAACCCTCCCTCCCACCTCTGATTTAAATACCCTCATTTTTATCCATTTCTCCCTTAGTAACACCTGCCTCCTACTGCTCTTCTCTCTCAGGTTCTTTCTTTCCCTTTACCTCCCTGGTTCCTTTCTGTTATCCTGGTTCCTGCAGTTCTATCTGGATATTTGCTAGGCTGGCCTAGGGAATTCAAGGCAAGTTGGGATTTCAGACAGCCTGGGTAGAAGGCTGGTGTCAGGTGTGCAAAGGATAGTTGGGGGTGGGGACAACCTGTGAAGGCTCTAAGAAACTAGACTGAAGGAGTGAGCTGGTCTGGATGTAGGAGATCAGGACACATTGGGTGGGCATGGACCAAGAGGGTAGTCCAAAGATCTGGGGTACTAAGAGCAAAAGTAGGCCTGTGCCCAAGGCTAGAAGGAGAACAGGATGTGGGGTTGGCGAGATTGGATTTGCTCAGGTTGTCCTTTCTAAAGTTTTTAAATGACTTCCTGAATTTACTGTTAAGTTGTGCCTTAAGTTCTACTGTCATTTACATTGGCATTTCTCAGTTCTATGACTTGCACTGAGATGGTTTTTAGCTTTGTTTTTTATTTTTTCCCTAGTATAAATTCATAGAAATAAATGACTGGACCCAAATGATGTCATGAATCTGAGGTTGTCCACTCTATGCTGTACTGCTTCCAGTATGCAGTGAGATGATTGTCACTGTTCTAGTTTGTCTTCATTTGCTATGACAAAACACACTGACCATACCAACTTGGGGAGGAAAGGGCTCACATATCCCAGGTCACACTTCATCACTGAGGGAACCCAAGGTAGGAACTTAGGGCAGGAACCTGGAGGCAGGAGCTGAAGCACAGACCATGGAGGACCACTACTTACTGGCTTGCTCCCCTGGCCCGTGCTCAGCCTGCTTTCTTATATAATAGATGACCACCTGCCCAGGGGCAGCACTGCCCACAGTGGCCTGGGCCCTCCCACATCACTCAGTTATCAAGAAGATGCTGCACAGACATGGCCACGGAGCAGTTCAATGGAAGCAATCCCAAATGAGGATTCTTCAACCCAGGTGTGTCAAGTTGACAACTCAAACTATCCAGCACTGTCACATCAAGCCAGTGGTGATATTTGAAAGTAGTGAGAAACATTTTTGGCCATAAACCCCTTTCTTTCATATTTCTGTGACCTTCTTTAGTGAAGGAGTCAAGAGCTCCTTTGGAGCTTCCTCTATGTTTTATTACCCTAGTGGTTAATAAGTCTCCAGTTCTGAAAAAGAAATAGGACTAGTGGAAGCCACTAACACTGTAATGGGCCATATTGGTTGTCTACTTGGTTGGATTAAGAAACACCTAGAGGGGGCTGGAGAGATGGCTCAATGGTTAAGAGTACTGGCTGCTCTTGCAAAGGATCCTGTTTGGTTCCCAGCACCTGCATGGTGGCTAACAATTGTCTGTAAGTCCAATTCCAGGGGATCTGACAGTCTCTTCTAACCTCCATGGGCATTACATGCACATGATGCACTTACATTCATGTATGCAAATACTCAGACACATAAAATAAATTTTTTTTAAAAAACATTCAAAAAAAAGAAAGAAAGAAACCAAGAGAATTCCTGAAGCATTCCTGTTGGTCTTTCCATGAAGGTGTTTCCAGAGGGTATTAACTGCAGGGGAAGTCCAATCCTGAATGGGCAGCCCCATCCCATGGTTGTGTCCTAGCCTTCTGCCACCACAGACAAAAACGGGTCCTATTGCTGTGCCTTCCATGCAATGACAGACAGTCTTCCCTGAAGCCTGAGCTCAAATGCACCTTACCTTCAGTTGTTTCCTGACATGTATGTGGTTATAGCAATGAGAAAAGTGACTGGTACACAGTCCTTCTCCCAGGACTGTACCTGGGAACCTAGAAATCATCACTGTTTACTTAGAACTGCTACGCTTGCTTGCAGCTATGAAGCCGTTGGGCTTCAAAGTACAAGATTTTAAGAAACAGGTTAAGATTAAAGACAGCTATTTTGCAGGTAAGAATGCTCTGAAAAAAATGTTACTTCCAGAGCTCTATTTAGGCATCTGTTCTCAGCAGTATTTTTTGTCTTTTAACTAAATTTCACACAGGTAATATATACATAAATAGTAGTGTTTTATTTGCTTTGAATATTTAATATACTAGTATAATGTGTAGTAGAGGAACAATTGATTTTTACCACTCTCCTAAAAAATGTATTCTCGTTATTTTATTATTTATTAAATTTTACTTTATTATTAATATTAGTGTGTGTGTGCATGTATGTATGATGAATGTGTGAGTACAGGTGTGTGTATGTGTGGAGGTCAGAGGAGAGGACAGCTTTTGGAAGTCACTTTTCTCCTTCCACGGTGGGTTCCAGGGACCAAACTGAGGTTGTCAAGCTTGTGTGGCAAAGTGCTTTTACCTGCTGATCCATCTCACCAACCCTTTCACTATTAATTTAAAGAAATGCAGTTCTTTTCAATAGCTATTGAAATAAATGTTCCATGCATTTTACCCATTTAAAGTTATAATTCAGTGGTCTCCTCACAGAGTGGACATTTGGCACCAAAGTTGATTTTAGAGTATTTTCAGACTCCCCAAACCAAACCCTACACCAATTAACTCTTAATCCCCATTTCCTCCCAACCATCCTCCCTGAGCAGTTACCAGTCTACTGTGTCTCTGTGGACTTCCCTATTCCAGGCGGTTCTTACCAAGTGGAACCACAGGATGTGTACCTCTGTTACTAGTTTCTATAGGAGTGTGTTCAACACTTCATTCCTTTTTAAACCAAGTATTACAGCGTGGATGTATTATATTTCACTTATCTATTCATTGGTTGATGGACTTTTGGGGGTTTTGTTTGGCCGTTATGAGTACTCAGTACAAGTATTTGTGTGTGAATGCCGCCATCTTTTACATTTTTCTTTTCCTTTTAGTGTCTTTCTCGAGAAGCAGGTGGAAGCATGAGCATTCAGTTTCTTGGCACAGTGGTAAGTACAAAAAGTACTGTGTATGCTTATAACCTCACCTGGCTTTCTCCTATGCATTTCTACCTGATCCATTATGGTTTTGTTTTTTTTTTTATCAAATAGAGATGCCTCTGTGTGAGAAGCAGGATCCTTAACATGTTAAAGAGGCTTCTGTGATGGGACTATTTAGTCCTTTATTTTTTTTAGGTCTTTTTGAGACAGGGTCTCCCTGTACTGCCTGCTGGAATCAAAGGTGTGCGATACCATGCCCGCCCTCTATCTCATTCTTTTTGAGGGTATTTAGTACTTCTTATCAGACAGGAAATACTACTTAAAACTAATAAAAACAAGAGTATATTACACAAAAATACTTTCAAAAATAAAGAATTTGACTTCTTTGTCCAAGAAGTCAAAGGACTTCTTTCTAGTTTTATGAAGTCTTTTTATATCCACCTTCAAAATGAAGGTGAATGATAATTTAGTAACTTCGTTTTTCACGTCAGTCCTATTATATATGGCTGTGCAGTGCTTCTAAGCATCATTCTAATGGAGCTATATTTAACATTCTGATGGGTAGAGGTGATAACTTTGAATTCCAGTTGTTAGGCGTTTATTCCATTTTCTTCTTTTTTGGCTTTTTAAAAAAATTATTTTCAAGCATGTCTAAGGTATTTTTAAATGTGTAAGATGTATCTCTTCAGAAATTGAATCCAATCTTTGAATAATTGACTTGTTACAGGCCTTTGTTCCTTCCTGTCTCATAGGACCCCTCCCATTGCATGTCACAGCGCTGTGTATTCTCTCTGGGGTCAGTTATGATCATCTCAGTTATTTAACTTTATCTGCTAATGGGGGTTACTTGCTTAGTTGTTACTGTTTTTACATATGTTTACAATTGTCATTGGTACTAGTTATAATTTTCAGAAAATTTTATTTAAAAGACATACTTTGAAATTTTTTTCATTCCTCTATTGCCATTGTATTTGAGCATTCCACTATGTCCACTTATTAGGTATGATTTGTGATATGCAGCACTCCTGTTCATGTCCTGTAGGCACCATGTTCACAGTGTACATAATGCACGAAGAGTAGTTCCTGTGGTAGTGCCAGTTTATTGAGAGTATTAGAGAAGCCTGTGGCTCAGATAAAAACAAATGGCAACTTTGTAGCAGTGAGATGTGGATATTTATATATTACTCCTTTGTTATAGGGAGGTGTTTAGTTTATGGATGTATAGTGTACATATGGTAGTATGTGTAGGCAGGCATTGGTCAATGTAACCCAAACTTTAAGTATTGAACCTCAGGCTTATGGTCATTCTTTTCTGGCTAATAAATATATATTTCTTGTAAACAAAAATTTAATATTATTGAAATATATGTCATAAGAAGTTGTATTAAACCCAGTAGGAAATGTTTATTGGTGTGTGTGTGTGTGTGTGTGTGTGTGTGTGTGTGTGTGTGTGTGTGTGTAGAAAAAGAGCAAAAGAAATTTGTTTTAAGGAGTTGGTTCACACACTTGTGGAAGCTTTGCAAATACCCAATCTTCAGGGTATGCCAGTAGGCTGGTGACTTAGGTAAAAAGTCACAGTTCAAGTTCAAAGGTAGACTTAAATTCCTTCTGCTTGTTGATAGGTGTTTTCCATCAAGTCCTTCAACTGATTAGATGAAGCCCACCTAGCTGTGCAGGGTGATCTGCCTTCTTAGAACTCTGCTGATATAAATGTTCCTCTCCTCTAAAATATATCTTCAGAGAAATACCTAAGATAACACTTGGTCAAATATCTGGGTAATGTGGCTTTGCTTTGCTAAGATGACCCATAAAATTAATCATCATAGAAGTATGTATAACATCTTCTAGAAGTTTTTGAGTTATTGACAATAGCTCTCTTCTTCTAGAAAAGAATGCCACACCTCCTCTGCAGCAGGGTTTCTTGGACATCTCTCTGTGTCAGTACATAAAGACTTGTCTCATCCCTTTTTTTTTTTTTTTTAGTGTTTTTGAGACAAGGTCTCCCTGTAGCCCCAGCTGGCCTGGAACTCACTGTGTAGACCAGGCTGGCCTTGAACTCACAGAGGTCCGCCTGCCTCTGCCTCCTGAGTGCTGGGATTAAAGGTGTGCCACCACACCTGGATTATTTTGTTTTGTTGAAACAAGGTATCACAATGTAGCCCTAGCTACCTAGCTGGCCTGGAACTTGCTATGAAGACCAGGCTGGCCTTGAAAACAAGGTTTTTCTTTTTTTTTATTTTAAAATTTTCCTATTTATTATTATTTTTTATGTGAATGAATATATAGTGTATTGCCTGCATGCAAGTCCATCTGTGTCTTGCAATGCCCTCAGAGGTCAGAAGAGGGTGGTCACATCCCCTGGAACTGGAGTTACAGATGGTTGTTAGCTGCCATGTGGATGCTGGGATTCGAACCTGGGTCTTTTGCATCAACAGCCAATGCTCTTAACTGCTGAGCCATCTCTCCAGCATTATCCTTTTTCTTTAGCAATCATCACATCTGACATGTGACTGTATTTCACTTTTTGATTCATTTTCTTGCCCACTGGATTGTAGAAGACCCACAAGCATAGGATATTTTTATATCTTTTACAAGTTCCGAATAAGTTCCAGTGTGTAATATGCATTCAATAAATATTGTCCAGGATGGGGCTTAAGTATTAGTCTTGAAAATGAGAAGTGAAGAAAGCGTTTATAGAAACAAATGGATCGAAAACAAGCGTGGGGGTCTCTTTGAACCTTAGGAATGAACTTGTGTGTCTGCCTTAGATAAGAGATGTGTGCAGATGTGTGCATCAGAGCAGAGAGTACAGCTGCCCAGGGTTTCCCATCCTGTCAGTGGGCAGAGCCAAGAAGAATACACAAGTGTATCCACTCTCAGTCCTATACTCACTCCACTGGGAAATGCCATTTCATTTTAATTCCTTTTCATTCAGGCACCAAAACATACCTAAAACACACACACACACACACACACACACACACACACACACACACGGAGAGTCCTTTCTAAATAGTTACCAAGAAGAAAGGAGAATTTCATGGAGTTAACCCTCCCCCTCTGCCCCTATTTCTGAAAGCTCTATAGCGCTGGGTCCACTCTCTTTATGCAGAGTGAATGTCAGGTGTGTGCACAATGTCTGGAGTAATCACTGTTTCTTCTAAAATCACAATAGTGGCTTGGATGGCCCATGGAGTCTGTTGTATTGGATTTTCTGTATTAGCAACAATGGAGGATTAGAATGGAAGTGGACTGAAGAGCGTGGACTGTTGCAAGTACAGATTGCTTTCAAGCTCCTGTGCACTGCTGCCTCAGTGGAGTACCCAGAGCAGATGTTTGTAGGACACAGGCCAGGAGCAGCTGTGGCATCCAACAGGCCACACTTCCCAAGGATGCAGTGGTTTTTCTGAGAATCTTTGTTAAGTTTTATGACCAAGTTGGTTGTTTTGGATTTATTTTTTTGAATACTGATAAACATGGCCTTCAGTGTTCAAAGAAGAGTTTAATTTTAGACCAAGAGAAATACTTTCTTTATAGCACTGAGATTTAAAATTAGTATCTGTTTTCAACTTAGAGAAGGTACAGGTTGAAAAATAACTGATATCACTTTTTTTTTTACTCACTCTGAGCTTTCATTACCACTCATTACTTTTAAAAACTTGCTTTATTAGAAATTATACTGTAGGAATACTGTCTTGCACACAATATGGACAGAATCTGGACTAATGACTTTTACTTAACCTTGCACCAAAAAGCTACCATTTTATAATGTGAACAAGCTCACTGAGCCTTGTTCTTTTCTGGCCTGAGCACCTGACTTTGATCCCTCAGGACCTCACATTGCTCTCCACCCAAGATAGTGAATGTGAGTGTGCTTGAATTAGCATATCAAAGTGCTAGTAGCAACATACTCATATTTGTATTCTCATTGAAGACTGTGAGAATAGTTGAGGTGTATGGTTGACACTGTGTGTGAGCTATTTTAGACTAGGAATCAAAGGGAAACATTCTCTGATAAGATCAGGGTGGATCCAAGTTTGTAGCTCTCAGTTGATGCTGGGGATACTGTTTGAATAAGAATGTGAGTCCAGCTGGGGGACCCAGTACCATGAAATGGTCTCAAGGATCTAACTCTAGAGTTCCAGCCCACTCTTAAAATGCATGCCCTTAATCCCAGCACTCTGGAGGCTGAAGCAGGCAGATCTCTGTGAGATCAAGGCCAGCCTGATCTACAAAGCAAATTCCAGGCTACCTGGAGCTACAGGGAGACCCTGTCTCAAACCAACAAAGAAACATAACAAACAAAAAAACCTAATACTATGAGTTTTCAGGTACAACTATAATGTGACTTAGAAATGCCACATTTTGCAAGTGTTAAATAGTGCACAAAATGTAACTACATATTGCCTTGGTACATTTAAAAGAATATTTCATAGATGTGGTGACACAGGTCTATAATCCCAGCACTCAAGAGGTAGAGGCAAGAAGCATGATGAGTTTGAGGCCAATTTGTTTCAAAAAAATTAACGTCCAGGGATTAGTTGTAAGGTCTTGGGCTGAAACACCCCTACCCCCATCCCCACCCCCACCAAGATGAGAGGGGGCAGAGGGAGGGAGGGGGGAGAGAGAGGAAGGGAGGACTACAACATTTTATAAAACATTTGTAAAATTTAAAGAATAAAAATGAAGACCCATATACCTCCCATGGAGTTTATTTTATTTTTTTTATGTGCATGAGTGTATTGCTTTCATGTGTGTAAGTGCACCCATGTCATGCAAAGCCCACAGAGGTCAGAAGAGGGCATTGGATCCCTTGGAACTAGAGTTATAGACAGTTGTTAGCCACCTTGTGGGTGCTGGGAGTTGAACCCAGGTCCTCTGCAATAGCTCTTAATCACAGTCAGTGCTCTTAACTGCTGAGTCATCACTCCAGCCCAGAGTTTATTTTAAAAATTAAAAATTATCATACTTTTAGGGCTGGGCATTGTGACACGTGCCTTTTATTACAG